TAGTACATAAAATAAGCTTTAATTTGATATATGTTTAAAGGACGCAGTATTTCCGGAACATTTTCAAAAATTAAGTTGAAAAAGTTAGTTTTTGTAAAAAAGTTGCTATTTTAAATCCCCCCTGTAAGCAGAATAAGTGTTAGATTTTCAAAAAAATGATATCAAATGAAAGGGAAATAACTAAGGTTTTAGTTTTAAAAAAAATATGTTGATTTGTTGATTTTTGAAAAAGTTATGGAAGTTTTAAGAAAAAAAAGTGAAAAAAAAGACAAAATTTATCGATTTTTAAATTTGTAATTTTATTGGATATTTCCCCCATTTGCGGGGAACGAGGGAAAATTTTAAAATTTTTAAGGGTAACGTCTTCAACTAGATACAATTTGTGATCTTTTGACGTATTGTTAAAAGAAATCAGTCCAGTAAGAGCTGAGAAAAAGTAGTGACAGACACAAAAAAAAAAAAAATAAATAAATAAATAAACACATCATGGTAAAATTAATACCTTCTCAGCTTCGCATCGAAGCTAATATTGACATTCATGAATGGTCACTTTTAAACCCTTCCTTTAATTAGGATTCTCATTGGATTTTTATAAACCGCACACTAAAATAAAGCTCATTGTATCTACTATATACGATTATAATATAAGTTGGATCAGAATTTAAAAAAAAAGTTTTATCAGTTTTAAAATACAGAACATATTTTTTGAAAATGCTATTTTGTACAATGGCGTAATTTTAAGATATTTTCTCTAATTTCTAAAAATGAGTTAGTTTTTTTTTTTAATTTTTATGCTAAATGACTCATTTAAATTAAAATCGGGTTCTTATTTTATATTGATCATTAATATCAACCCAGTGATGGCTGAGAATTTTTTTGGAAAAACATAAAAAAAAATACATACCATCAAAAAATCAATACTTTCTTAGCTTTGCATGGAAGCTAAAAATTATCTAATTAAGAAAAATGATTGACTGATAACAAATTTTAAATGAGTATTTNCTCTAATTTCTAAAAATGAGTTAGTTTTTTTTTTTAATTTTTATGCTAAATGACTCATTTAAATTAAAATCGGGTTCTTATTTTATATTGATCATTAATATCAACCCAGTGATAAATAAATAACATATTTCACATCTCACCTCCCCACTCTACATTTTAAATGGTTATAACATTTGAAATAATGGTTAAAAATTGTTATTGAATAGTTATTATTTTAATGAAATAGTTTTTATTTTATTAGCGAATTAAATATGTATGTTACGTATTAAATATCTTATAAAATGAAAGCTACATGAACTTTTTTTTTCTTAAATATATTCTTATTACAAGTTTTATTATTTAGTTGAGTTGTGAGTTATGCTTACCTACCTCCATTTTATATTTTAAAATGTTAAAAATGTACTATTTCAAAAAATCTTATTGACCAGTCATTTTCTAATTATATAATATTTAATTTTATTAACTAGTTAAATATATATTGCCATAAAAAAATAAAGTTGTCACACTTAGAAAGATGAATTTAAAAAAATACTTATCAATTATTAATAAATTAAGAATATACTAAACTAAAAAATACCAAAAAGGATTTTCTTATCATAATTATTATTTTAAGATAAATCAATTGGTTATTAAAAAAATCACCCTGTATGTTATTAGCTTAATTTATTATAAGCCGTTGGTAGCTAGAACTTATTAATTGGAAAGGGCAGCCTCTTTCATTTTAATATACATATTGGATTAAAAATTTTCTCTCAGAATTTATTTATAACTAACACAATTAATTTTTATAATTTTTTTTTTGTAAAAGATGGGTTAAATGGGGTAATTACACTCACCATTCTATAAGAACATAATAAAGTTACATACAAATTTAAGTAAAAAAACATCATCGAAGAAAAAATTGTAATAAAATATTATAATAACATGAATAATAGTAATTTTTTATACCAAAACAACATTTTTTATTTAATTTCAGAGTCATTCACATATAGAATAGAAAGTGTCAGGACAAAATTTTTTTTTTTAATTTTCTTGTTTTTATACATATTCAAGTTTCAAGTTTTGAAGTTTTGAATTCCTTATATGGTAAAATGACCTTTTTAAAAAAGTATATTGGATCAAAAAAATACATATAAAGTACTCATAAAAAAATTGTATTGATCCATACATTTCTCAAAAAGTAATAATTAATGAGTTACAAAAATTTTAAAACATAGAGTTTTTTTATAACCACTCAATCCAAACAGTCATAATATTAGTTAGATTATTTTATTACTTATAAGTTGGATAGACATATGTGTCTCCGTATAAAAAAACAACAGTTAGAACTATTTTAAGGGGAATGAGGGAAGATAGGACCAAATTTCTTTTTGGAAATTATATTTTTAGGATTCTATTGATTTTTGAAAAGAGTTATATTTTTTATACTTTTAAAGATAAACGGTGAATCATAAGTTACAAAATCAACCTGTTTATGCTTATATATTAAGCATTTTTAAATAGGAAAAAATACATACATCATCATATAATTTTTTATATAAGATTAAGACAAGAGTAAGTTGATGACATATAAGCAGTATAAAAATAACCACGATTTTTCATATTTATTTACTATGATCTTTGACTTTTTTAAGTATGCATTAACCAAGACATAAATAGGGTCTTGTTCTAAGTAAAAGAAATATATAAAAAGTATTACTACCCTGTAATGTAAGAAAAAATGTATTTTACAATGTAATTTTATTCACGTAGATTTTATAGTGTACATCAATATGGATGTTTTCTGTATCAGTTATTATTTGGTCAGTAATAACCAAATAACATGATTTTTTTCTTTTTTCATTTATTTATACAATCAAAAATTTATTAGTCTTCTATTTGCAAAAATGACAATAAAATATAGATTGATTTTAAAATAAAATATAAGTTTTAATCTACAGTTGTAAATACAATTAATTGAATTTTTTTAATTAAAAAATTAATAGTAAAATACTTGAAAAAGTTACCTTCATATTATTGTCAACTAGATAAGAAGATGAGCAAAGTTGGTAAACTAGGTATGCACGGAAAACCTCCCAAGTAGTCTTGCTCTTGAAAGCAGCCTCTGGGTTGGTAAATGATGTGTCCAATGGATCCCATTTTTGTTTGACAACATTTGTTAAAGAAATACTGTTATTTCTACGTTGCTGTTGATCGATTGGCTGAGATCTATTTGTTAATGTTCTTGCTGATTGTAAGTAAATTTCGTTCTTGACAGATACTTTTATTAACAGTTGACTACAATGATGAGATTTAGTCAGTTTCAGAAAAGCCATTTAACACAACGACTTTTTAAAAAACTAGTTATTTTTAAACGATTTGATGAGGTCTTTTAGTTCAGTTTATCTAAGAATTTGGTAATCAATAATTGGACGTTCACTTAGTTACCAATCACACCACTATTGGATACCAGCTATTAGACAATTAAGAATAATTTAAAACTCACAAAATACTAAATGCTGATAGTCCTAGTTCGACTGAGAATATAAAAATTTAAGAGAAAAACCACCAATTAGACAATCTTTCTTTATTACGATAATGATTCACTTTTTAATTCACACTAACAACGTTGAATAAAATTGCGACGGTAGATCAGGTGCAATGTGAAACACCAACTATATAAGAAATAAAAATAACTTAATCTTCAATACTTCAGTTAGAAATCAAATTTAAAAGGCGCGTGTCACTATACGTGTTTACAATATGTACACGAATAAGTGTACAAAAAAAAGTTGAATATTAAAATTCCACACACAGACGTATCTAGTGCGACTGTTTAGGGCTCTAAAGCGCCGGTCAAAATTTAACAAGACTTCTGGTTATTACAGTGCTGCATCATATTTTAAAATTTGTATTTATTTGGTGACACTGACCGTTGTCACTTAATAGCTGAAGAGTTTGCTACAAGAAGGAGGTGCTCCATTTTCAAATCTTAAAAGAGTTTTCAACAAAGTTTTACACTTTCATTTAATCAAAATCATTAGTGTTTGTAATTTTATTTATTGAATAACTTAGTAACAAATACACATAAATTATTTTTGTGGTATTAAGCTAAAGACTTTCTTTTATAACATAAGACGCGTAACTCCAAATATCCTAAAAATGAATTCCTTTATGTTGCAAATTCTTCAATTTTTAATTGTAAGAAGCTGCAAATATTATCATTTCTCGATCAAATATTATATATCTTGGCTAGAATTGATTGCTTTGACAAAAAGTGTCCAAAAAAGATAAGAATGAGAACTTCCTATCATGATTAAAATGATTGTGATAAATTTTTATTTTAATTGGAATAAGAAATTTTGCTTGGTATAACCCCTTTAAAAAATCCTGAGCATGCTACTTTCTTTTGACAAAAATAGTAAGAAAATTAAGAACTGAAAATTCAAAAACAATTTTTATTACATTAAATTAATTAGTATATTCACGGTAATACTACTAGAAAAATTCGATTTCAATAACTATCCATAAATTATAAAAAAAGAATGCTTAAGGATAGAGCTACTAATATCTTCTTATGGGGAAATAAAATGTTTTTTTTATTGATTTACCAAAAAGATAATTTTTGGTACTTATATCACTTGACGCTGCAACGTCTCATTAGAATTCTGAAGCATTGAAATTTTTTAAATCTTTCATATTTAATAAATGTCATTAAACTTTTTTTTACATTTTTAATTTAAACTGAGTCAGGATTTACCATCATGTAACAAATTAGAAATAAGGATAGTTATCCCTATAATGACTCGTAATTTGTGAAAAAATTATATTTTTAATTAGATTTTAAAGAAAACGCTCCTTTTTTGTTTATAATAATTCTCGGCAATATGATATTATATATAAGAAAAATACTTAAATAAATTAGTAAGTTTTATGATGTAAGCAATCTGAATTATCTGTGTTTCATAAAAAATTATTTAAATGCTAATAACTGTATTATTTACTTAAATTTTTATGAAAAAAAAAAAAAATTTGCCCTCCTTATGTTTTTAGAATTGCCTTTACCAAAATGAACTCTTATCTATGTGCGTTATCAATTTTTACTCCAATGCATAGTTTTTAAAATGTAAATATAATTTGTTTACTTTTCTTACGTTGGTTACATAGATTAAATACGTATATATTTAACGTGTGTTTTATCTATGTTGGTTAGAATAAATAATTTAAGTTCTGCCGTGATGTTTATATTAATTGAAAGGATTGAGAAACAAATTTTATTGATTAATTAATATATTTATTAATGTAAAATGTAATATATTTAATTATTTATTAGCAAATCTGTAAACATAGAGTGATACTATTTTAATTGATTTTTTTTTAAATTGTTATTTGTACTACATAAATCTAAATAGTTGTTTAGAGTTACCTTTAAGTTCAATTTCTAACATTTTTAATCACTTACAGATAAATGCCAATGTTTTTTTACTTAGTTTATAATGACGTCCCTAGATTCAGAAATCATTGAATGTTCTGATGATGAAAATTATGGATTTAAAAAAAATCAGGTATTTCTTTTATGATTGGATAGTAAAAAGTACCATAGTCGCTGTGCATAAGGCTTACAAATTTATTTTAAATATCCTCCTATTATCTATTTTTAATAGCTATTTATATTGTGACATTTGAACTCAAAGTATGCTTTAACTAATTTATTCCTTTTATTTAGGTAAACAATTGGTATCCCGATCCAATTGATATTTATTCACTATATAATTCATTAGACTCTGGTAATATTTCATCACTAAAATTAGATTGGACTTGTCCTGGAAGAAGAGAGCTTACTCCTGAAAATACTCAAGTTTCTCATAATACTATTAATGAAGAGTGTGAAATAACTGAGTAAATAAATTTTATTTTATCAAAATTTTCAAAATGTTTGGTAATTTTTTATTGTATTTGTTATAGATCAATTGATCAATCAGATTTTGATTTTGAAGATGAAATGTCTAATATGAATTTAACTCGTTTAGAAGGCAAAAAAGAGTTAAAAGGTAGTGCCAAAAAAAAGACAACCAGTTTAGATGCAGTTTTATCAAATATGGTTAGACATCAAAAAATGGATAATATGCTTGATGAAAAATTTGACTCATTATAAAAGTTATTAAAATTTTGTTAAAATAAGGTAAATATTTATTGAATACTAATTTAATAATGAAGATTTGAGTAATAAATTTTCAAAATATTTCATACTAAATTTTGTTAATTATTATGTTTTTTTTATGTGATAAAATTATTTTTAACTTCCAAACTTATTTTAAGTTCAAAATAGTTTTGATAAGCAATATTCAAATAAATGTTTTAGATAGAGTGAAAATATTTTAAAAAATAACTTAAAATTAGTTGAAATTAATTTCCTATAACATTGATTTCAAATTTATTTTAGTTATTTCAACTTTAATTTTTAATAAAATTCAATAGTAACCTATTTCAAAGCTTCATCATATATATCTTGTCACATATAATTACAAATTTTATATATGCATGTTTATATTTATACACATATTTTAGCTTAGTTAAAACAGTTTAACAGCTTAGTTTTAAAACAAATGATTAATATTCTTGTTGAAATTTTGAATATATCAAATAAAATATTTAATATAATAATTTTATAAATTAAATAGACTCTTACATATTTATCTATAACAATTACCAGTATTTTAAAGTAAAAATTATTAACAAAATGAAGAATAGTAATTAAATCAAAGAGTTTTATTCATTATTCCTTATTAATGATGTATTGAAAATAAAATAAAATTATACTTCAGAAATTCTCAGAAAATACTGTTACAAAATAAAGTATAACATTAAAAAGTCAGTTTCCAAGTTTTATAGATCAAAATGGGAATTTTGAAAAATTGTATAACACTTTTTCGTTTGAGAATTTATAACAATTCTCAGCGAATGCCTTTTTTTAATTTTGAAGATGATTAAACATGTTATAATAAGAAACCATAACTTTTAAGATATTCAAAAAAACGGACCCTTTTTTATACTCTTTGACCCTTATCTAAATATTAGTATGGTTCAGACAGAAACCTTTTGTATATACATATATATTTAAACTTTTATTTACATAAATATATATAAATCTATTTAAACAATACCATTTCAGCCTTTTCATAGGTGCAATATGGGAAGCTTAGAAAGATCTTAGCTCCCCTAATTTTTTAACAGCCCTCCGAAAGTTATAAAAATTACATGTAAATTGATATAAAAATATTTTTAAGAAGAGGAGAAATTAAATTAAATCTCCCAAAAATTCTGTCAAATTCCGTCTATGACAATTTCTTTCATTACATATTTAAATTGTTACAAATATAGACTATTTGAAAAAAAACTAATTTATGTTTTTATGTGATACAATATGTTAATGTTATGTAAAAAGTATATAATAGAATTTATTCAATTTGTAAAGATATATCCAAAATTAGCAATTACATGTGATAAAATAAACATGATGGGGCTTTGAAATTGGTTACTATTGAATTTTATTAAAAATTGAAGCTAAAATTACTAAAATAGTTTTGAAATCAAGAGATAAATTTTTTAAAAATTAATTTCAACTAATTTTCAATTATTTTTTTTAAATACTTTAATCCTTTTAAAAAAATTTTTTTTAATATTGTTGACCAAATTATTTAGAATATTAATGATACCTTCAAAAATGTTTAATTATAAATAAAATATTTATTTCTATAATATTTTAAAATATTTTAATTATATTTCTCAAGAAATATTTATTTAATTGAACATGAACCAGTCAACTAGTAAAATGCATTTAGGATGTTCTGTATGTTCTAAGTATACGCAATCAAGTTATAACAGAAATCCTGATTCGACATTTTTGCATACAAGTCAAAATAAATTTTCAAATATCATTTTTGATGAAAAAGAAACTAAATTGAAAAAAATTAAAAACAATCTAAATCAAAATTCAAAATTTAATTCACAATGTTATTGTATTTATATGCCAATAAACAAAACTAAAACTCAATCTAAACATATATGCTCAAAGATATGTGAAGTTTCAAAAATATCCACTACAGATGATTCCTGGTTAAATCAAATAATTAACTTTAGAAGAGATAATTGGTTTGAATGCCATGCAAATTTTTTTTTTAATGATATTGATTTAAATAGAGTAAATAAGCTATGTTTTTTAAGTAAGTATATTTAAGATTTTTAGGTTATCTGTATTTTGAACAGAAATTTATTTTTAATAAATTGTTGTATTGATAGGTAATACAAATTGTAGTGTTGAAAATAGCTCTAATAACTGTATTTGTTTATCATCGAAAAACCAAAATAATATCACAATCAACCCTGAAAGAAAAAAACTAAATGGTCAAAAAAAAAAAGGTAATGGAGTGGTAAATTAAGTATTTGTTTATAAATGATGAGTTTAATTTGATAAAATAAAATCTCTAAAAACGTTTTAATCTTAGGAAAGCAAAATTAAGATTTAAATTACAAACAAACATAATAATGCTAGTAGTTTTCTTAATATCTAACGGAAATAATTTATTTTTCTGGTGTCTATTTAAAGAGTTTTTTCACAAATTAAGTCATAACTTTTAATTGAACTTATCCTTTTCTTATAGAAAACCCCATCAATTTAGTATTGATTTTTATATATCTCATAATTGCTATTAATTGTTTCTATAGTGACAAAACATTTTGAAAAAGGATCACAAAAATCTTGACCAACCAGCTTCTTGTTCATCAAAATGAAAATTGTATATTATGAAAATTTTTTCCAAATGTACATATATGTTTATTTGTATAAGTAAGGTATTATGTATTATATTAAAGTGAAAACATAAATTATAATTAATTATGTATGTTTAAACAAACTTATTTTAAATTAACTATAATTTTAGTCTATTTTCATTTTTCATTTTTTTTATATTTTACTACTTTTTTCACATTTTAATATAAGTTATATTATTTTTAAATACACTATTTGTTAAATATATTTGTTCTTTTTTTGGATCAANTTTTGAAATCAAGAGATAAATTTTTTAAAAATTAATTTCAACTAATTTTCAATTATTTTTTTTAAATACTTTAATCCTTTTAAAAAAATTTTTTTTAATATTGTTGACCAAATTATTTAGAATATTAATGATACCTTCAAAAATGTTTAATTATAAATAAAATATTTATTTCTATAATATTTTAAAATATTTTAATTATATTTCTCAAGAAATATTTATTTAATTGAACATGAACCAGTCAACTAGTAAAATGCATTTAGGATGTTCTGTATGTTCTAAGTATACGCAATCAAGTTATAACAGAAATCCTGATTCGACATTTTTGCATACAAGTCAAAATAAATTTTCAAATATCATTTTTGATGAAAAAGAAACTAAATTGAAAAAAATTAAAAACAATCTAAATCAAAATTCAAAATTTAATTCACAATGTTATTGTATTTATATGCCAATAAACAAAACTAAAACTCAATCTAAACATATATGCTCAAAGATATGTGAAGTTTCAAAAATATCCACTACAGATGATTCCTGGTTAAATCAAATAATTAACTTTAGAAGAGATAATTGGTTTGAATGCCATGCAAATTTTTTTTTTAATGATATTGATTTAAATAGAGTAAATAAGCTATGTTTTTTAAGTAAGTATATTTAAGATTTTTAGGTTATCTGTATTTTGAACAGAAATTTATTTTTAATAAATTGTTGTATTGATAGGTAATACAAATTGTAGTGTTGAAAATAGCTCTAATAACTGTATTTGTTTATCATCGAAAAACCAAAATAATATCACAATCAACCCTGAAAGAAAAAAACTAAATGGTCAAAAAAAAAAAGGTAATGGAGTGGTAAATTAAGTATTTGTTTATAAATGATGAGTTTAATTTGATAAAATAAAATCTCTAAAAACGTTTTAATCTTAGGAAAGCAAAATTAAGATTTAAATTACAAACAAACATAATAATGCTAGTAGTTTTCTTAATATCTAACGGAAATAATTTATTTTTCTGGTGTCTATTTAAAGAGTTTTTTCACAAATTAAGTCATAACTTTTAATTGAACTTATCCTTTTCTTATAGAAAACCCCATCAATTTAGTATTGATTTTTATATATCTCATAATTGCTATTAATTGTTTCTATAGTGACAAAACATTTTGAAAAAGGATCACAAAAATCTTGACCAACCAGCTTCTTGTTCATCAAAATGAAAATTGTATATTATGAAAATTTTTTCCAAATGTACATATATGTTTATTTGTATAAGTAAGGTATTATGTATTATATTAAAGTGAAAACATAAATTATAATTAATTATGTATGTTTAAACAAACTTATTTTAAATTAACTATAATTTTAGTCTATTTTCATTTTTCATTTTTTTTATATTTTACTACTTTTTTCACATTTTAATATAAGTTATATTATTTTTAAATACACTATTTGTTAAATATATTTGTTCTTTTTTTGGATCAATTTTACTATTTATAAATAAATTATAATATAATAATATATATTTATTGCTAACAGTATTTCTCTTTCTTAAAATTATAAACAAAGAAGTTCTTCAGATTTTTTCAAGTTGTATTTAAGTTTAAAAATCTTGTAATTTAACTAATATTTAATTTAAAAAAAAAAAGTTGTTTGGTTTAATTCTTAGAGTGAAAATGTATTTGATAAAATAATATTTTTTAAATAACATTTACTTTATTTGAATTTTTTTTTTATTTGACCATCTAATTTAAAACTAGTAAAAAATTTTATTTTTCAATTATGTGTTTTTATAGAAAAAATAATTAAACAGCTGAACTTCATGAAAGTATAAATAAATATAAATACAGTGTTTATAAATATACTGTAGACCGAGTGTCAAATGAAAATCTTATAACTAAATATTATATATTTGTAATTGTTATTTTATTACTAGCTATAAATTTAAATATTCAGCATCCATCTTCCTGTCTTTATATAAAAATAAATATTATCTTGGTTCTAAAAATTATTTTATTAAAATCATTTTGTTTATTAAATTTATAAGCATAGCCCTCCTACATATGTAGAGTTTTTAAAAAGATTATTCAAAATATGAAAAGATTAATACTTTATAATTTACATCATCAATTAAAAATAAGTTAATACCCTGATTAGATAATAATTTTGAGTAATTTAATATTATATTGAAATTGAAGTTAAAATGATATTGATAATAAAATAGTAATGTAATTTGAAAACAAAAATGTTTAATAGACGATCTATTTTGGATTAATTTTAAGTATTTAAATAATCTAAGAACTATTATTGTTATTGTTTTTTTATAATTTGGATGATTATGTTTTTTACTATTAAATTGCCATGTGCAACTAATAAGGTAGTAACTCAACAAATTTAACTTTGAGATTATGAGGTATTCGGATTTAGGTTTTATTCTTCTTATAATAACTCTCATCAAAATATCGTAAATTTGGTTTGAATCGGAATTAAATTACTTAGAAAATTGAAAAACAAATAGAGTGCAATCAGAGGATAAATTTTATGTTTGATCTTCTAAAAAGTGAGTTATTGCCTTATTCATTGCGCATATCAAAATGTTCCTTACCCATAGAATTGAATACAAAGTCTGTTATGTATAGTTTTGACACTTTACTAACTAAACAGTTAAATATTAATAATAAAAGTAAATGATTATAAAAAAATTAAGCAATAATAATTATTATTTTTGGTGGTAATGCAACATATCTGACTACAGCAATGCACAAAATTTACTGTAACTAGATATGTTTGAAAAAATTATTTTTGAATTACTTTTTCAGTAATTGACTATTAAACAACAATTTTTACAAACACTATATAATTGGTGATAGTGATTATTATAAACAATTTTATATACCTACTTACATAAAATTTGTAACTCTAACTTATTGATTTTATTGAAAATTCACATTAGTACATTTTTTTCCATAATTAGTGAAAAACGTAAATTAAAAATGAATTTAATTATGGTTAATATTGGAGTTGAAATCTCAGATAATTTTGAGAGACCGTTGTTTTACCAAATATGTATTAAATACGTTTAAGCTGAAGCTTCCTCAGTTGATGCAGAAATATATCTGAGTCCGTTGTATCTAATGTTATAATATTGCAAAACCTGATTTATGATTATAAAGGTTTTTGTTAGTTGTATCATCACTAAAAACGATTTCAATGAAAAACAGACAAATTTTAAAACTTTTAAATCAGTATGGAAAACTAACTTAATTTAAAAAAATTAATTGAATAAAGGATGTCCGATAAACTCGATTAATATCAAAAAAACAAACACGAATATCTATTAAACTTTGATGTACTAGAGATGACTTAGAATTTTAATAAAAATTTTAGTACATAACGTTTCAATAGGCGAATTAATGAATAGTTACTAATAAAACACTATTAGAAATTCGTATTCAAAAGTTCTTAGGCACGTATTTTTTTTTTTTAGCTTCGATGCGAAGCTGAGAAGGTATTAATTTTACCATGATGTGTTTATTTATTTATTTATTTTTTTTTTTTTT